ACGAGCTTAAATAAAGGAGCCAGCGGGTACGGCATAATACAATGGACTCGTCATTGGGTCGGAACTGTAGGATATCTGGACCGGACTAGCTACGTAGGTAGTACCTCTTTTGCCGCCGTATGCCACCCAACGAGGCCCAGAGCGCTCACCGTTACCTTAGCGTTATTATACGACTGGAACGAGCGGACGGACGAAGGAAGGAAGAAAGGACATCTAATTATGACTGACCTGCTAATAAATTAGTCAAGAGATATCCTGACCCCTTTTAAGTGTCTATTTCTACCTACTATTAGGAGGAGGGGTTATATTTGTTACTCACTTAAGGTAACATTTTAAGTCTTACTAGCAAGAGCCTTAGTACTGACAACCCCTCTAACAACAGACTAAAGGTAGGATGTTTTGCCCTACTTTACTAGGGGGTAGCCAGTACACGGGTAGTTGCCAGCGCTGACTATGAATGTTAAGACCTAGGCTAGTCTGGCAAAGACCCCCCTTCCCTGGCCAGGTAGTTTCACCTCTAAGCTTTCAATCTCGTTAAATAATTGTCACTTCTTATCATATCCCAGTTTCAGCCGTGTCACGTCGTGTGATCTTGAGTACTAAAGAAACAACGTTAAGGATTGACAATCGTTCTTAGTGCCTAGACCAGCAGGTAATTACATTTGCTCAACAACTTTGCAACCTTGTCCTCCGATTCTAACTAGCACCGCCTGCATCCTGCAGCACAACAAAAGACCGGCCTTATTGTGCCGTCATCCACCGAGACCCCAATCACTCAATGGTGGCTTGCGCGGCTGATGGGCTTGCATTTCTTGCAGGGGCTGTGTCCACACACCTCATATGAGCGGGACGAACCACTGGAACCGGAGGAGTAACCGCGATCGTCGCTGTGCACGCACGAGTTGGTGTTGGGGTTGTTCTGGCCGCCGCATTTGTGGCACGTCCAGCCATTGGGCATGAGGACATAGTCCTGATAGCACTCGAGGCCGCCGCAGATCTGCGTGTTGTCATGCGTGACGACGGTCGAACGGCCGCCATGGGCCTGGCTGCAATGCCTGGCCTCAGATCCATTCCTCGAGGGCTCGTTCACGGGCTTCCTTGCAGTCCCTGGCTTTCCTGGGATCCCAGAACTCTCTGTAGACGTGCCCGCATTTGCCGATACGCTGATACTTGCGGCACATGGTTGCGTTTTGAACGGTGGTTGGTCGAGGATGCTGAGATGGATTGGACGGAGTGGCGGGAGGTGCTATAATTATCTAGCGTCAGGGTCCGGATATGGGTAGGTTTCTGGACATTCCACGACCTGCGTGGGCGTTGCCTAAAGTCAAGAGAGTAATATAGGGAAGTGAAGAGGAGGTTGGTTGAGTTGATGGACTGGAGGATAGAACTGGGACACAGGACGGATTCCTCGCTCTTATATGCTCGCAGATCCTGCAGATGACCCTCTGTGTAGAGCTTCGGTGATTATGGTGCTCCATCGATATCGGGCCAACCGGCCTGCCATAGCGATGCTCGTCGCCCTGGAACACGACCTCACGATCCTGCCGACTTGCCTTACCGGTCAGGGCCCAACACATTTGCAAGCAGGTCCCATGGCCTCGGTCAGGGGCAGTGTTGTATCAACCTCTATGTTGATACCGGCCGCCCACGGCACTTGATAGGCTGAGACTCTCATAGGCAGAGCCCGGAACGCGCTTTACAGTGGCTAGGCTGTCTGTTGGTACCAGGTCGGGCCTCGGCCATGGCCCCTACTGTCTCGACCAAGGCTCGTAGGGAGGTTTATCCGCGGTGCTGGCCTATTAACTTTAAGCGGGTATAAATATAGTTTGGCGCCCTAGTATGTACGAATGCGGTACTGTTTGTTCTTTGCGGTTACCAATTGGCTGGCGCTAAGAGGCTGGCGCAGACAAGCACCTAGACCCATAGTTGGCTATCACACAATAGAGCCCTACCCGCCCAAATCCCACCCAAGATCCATCTCGTCTCAAAATTAGAATCGGATGGCCTTGTTTTGGATTCCGCGCCGCTTTCATCTTAAGATTAACAACGCAAATGGGTCTAATCCCCTCAGGCGTGTTCCAACAGGCGGTTAGTTTCTCCTTTAGGTCCAGCAGTTAGCGCCACAGCGCTCGAGCCACCATCCGGACTAATGTATGTACCTATGTGTTGACAAAACGCCAAATGCTACATTGCTCCCCACTGGCCCGCCGACATCTCAGCTCTCGACAGCCATCCGAACTCCCTCTGATACAAACTCCAGTCAGCCTCGCCGGCCTTCTGCGACCGCGGTTTACACCCTTCAAGCAACTGGCCCATTATCGCTGCACAAGCGTCGACATCCCCTATCAGATTTCTCAGTTTCTTTAGCCGCAAATCGCAACTTATCAAATTCATCTCTCCCCTTCCCAATTCATCCTATCGCTAGTGCCGTCGACATTTTGGTAGCACACATGGCATCCGCTTCGCCCGCCAAAACCGGCCGCATCCTGGCAAAGGCCATGATTGATCGTCTCGGCTACGGCGGCGAGGACGACTGCATCACTTCTATCCGCTGCAACGGCGGAGAATTCCACATCGAGATGTCGCCGTTCTACATTTGCGATTCGCCCGTCATCGAGTCTCGCTATCGTAAGTTCATCGCTGCCGTCAGAGGCAAGTACGAAACGGACACAGAGGAAAGCGAAGCACAACACCCGGAAGACGTGTTGGACGAGTTTCACGCATGGCTCATCGCTGCCTTTGAGCCGGTCTTCTTGGAAGTTGCCCCGGATATCCCGCCGTCCTTTGACCCCGCGAAGCTTGCAACGGGAGAAGCTCACCCACTACTATCCGAATACCTTTTTCCTGAAGAGTATCGCTGTCGGCTCGAAGTAGAAAACGACAAGGCCTTCCCCATCCATATGCGAGACGAGGAGAGCCGCTTTGTCCAGGCCCTAAACGACATCCACCCCGAGCTTGCCCAAGAACTTAGGCAATACGTGAAGTTCTTCGATCCGTCTGCAGTTGAGGTCTCCTTCAGGAACCCCGAACACGCCCTATCCGATATGCCCACGCGGGTGTTGGTCGAGCTGGATGATTCGGGTCAGAAAACGCTCTGTTTCTTCAAGACCTTCGCGCTAGGCGGCTATTTAAGCCTGGAAAACGAGCTGGAAGCCCATCTCCGGGTCTGCAAATCTACCCTGGCGTACGAGGCGCGCGTGACTCGTCTCCGCGGGATTGTGGCGGTAGATGACGGCCGGATTGCAGGCCTGCTGCTCACGTACATCGACCACCGCCGCGAGAACGACGGGCTATTGTTTGAGGACCACCTGCTTTACACACCAATTCCCCTTCGACAGCGTTGGGCAAAGCAGATTCGGGAGACTGTTGAGCAACTCCATAACGCGGACATTGTCTGGGGCGATGCCAAAGCAGAAAACGTCATGATAGACAAGAACAACGATGCTTCGCTGATTGACTTTGGCGGGGGTTATACCAAGGGATGGGTAGACGAGGACAAGGCCGGTACGAAGGAAGGGGATCTGCAGGGGGTAGCTAAGATTGTCGAATATCTCTCCAACGAAGAGTACGAGCCTTATCCGTACTCTGACTCGGACTGGGACGAAAATGTTTAGGGCAGCAACCACTTGCCGGTACTAGATAGATTTGTGAATTCAGAATACCTCTGCCGACTACCCCAACCGGGTTTATCAGGAGCGTTTGTAATGGACCGTGTGGACCAGAGCTGAATTACTGCCTAGCTGGGGAAGGGGGATGATGCCGGAAATGGCCCTTTGGCTCATTTGCGCCTGCTTCGCTGTATTGCTAGATATTTGAGATAGACTCACGTGAGAGTGGCCCACTGATGTTAGGTAACTAGCACCTGCCGGCACGGGCCACGTATTGCACGTGATATGAGTGGACCCACTCTGCAGCCCATTTTACGGACTGCAGGCAAGTCTTCCACTCTTGCACTCGGCATCTCATCTCAGCGAGCTCAGACTACAATCGGGTTGGAATGCTACGCCTGCGGCGTGGCTGCCGGGCGCATGGGGCCGTTAGTGGCGGCTGGCGCGCACTGGCCAGGGCTGGCCAGGGCTGTTGAACGGCCCGTGCGTATGTATTCGTAGGTCGAAAATGGTTCCAACGGATAACGTTAGTACCGATAAGTCTGAGATTATCTCAGTACCTCAGACCACAATTCGCCGATTAATTGTGCTTCTTAACAGGTGCAGTCGGCTGCACCAGCTTCACGATGTATCCCTTTGGCCGTGAACAAGACCACTTTTTAGCGTGGACCCACAATACGACCAGTGTACTTCTCAACCAGCGCTCTGGACTGCCAGTGCTGGGTGACTGGACGTCTCGAAAACGCCACGATTTTTAAGCGAGGGGAGCCGATTGGCTATAGACCCTTGGACGCTAAAAAGTGGTCTTGTTCACGGCCAAAGGGATCTTTTTGCGCACGGCCTTTAACTACCCCGCCCCGGGGGGGGGTTTCCAGCCAATCAGGTGACGAGGAGAACGATCAGCGAATTGTGGTCTGAGGTACTGAGATAAAGCCAACCGTTAAATCATCCAACATCTTAAGTCATTGAACATTCGGCCTTCTTGTTTTAAATGTACAGCTACAGCCACAATACAGAGCTGTCTCTTACGTTTTTACTTTACGATTTCCGCTTGTACATACTATTTATGCTCTTCTTGATCCATGTATTCAAACGGGCCCTCATTCTGCAACATACAGGCCACGCCACCTCTGGACAGGAGTTCCGCCACCCTTCATCGGTGACTCCCTCCTAGGCTCCTGGTAAGGTCACTTGCAAACCGTCTCTTAACACGATCACACACACACTCTCTCTCTCACTAATTAATTCTTTTAACTTGCCTCGCTAACCGTACTATTAGTTACAAAACGACTGATGTGAACTAATTACACCCGAACCTACAATTGATAGGAAGTGCATGTTACTACCCCTTCTTGTGTGACAGACCCGGAACAGTGAACATCGAATTCAAAAGGCAAGATGGCCGAGCGGTCTAAGGCGCCACGTTAAGGTAAACCCTTAATTCAAGGTCTCATCTTCTGATGAGTCAAGAAATCCGTGGTCCGAAAGGGCGTGGGTTCGAATCCCACTCTTGTCATCAGTCCACATAGAATCGAGAGAGTATAATTTTTGCCGACAACCATGAAGTGCTTTCTCTTTCCCTCGTACGTGACCCTTCGCTACTCAGCTGTCTCTTTTGCTCGTAAACCTAAGGGTTTCACATGGCAATGGTGGGTTTCTCTTTATACCACGCCTCGTGAACGTGAACGGTTGATTGATTTGCCCGCTAACCAAATCCTATACTATACACAAGCTCCCCCCCTTATATACCAATATCTACCTCAGAGACGACAACGGCATCTGGTTTAAATGTCTATCCATATGCTCTTGTTAAGTTTTATTACAGAACCCCTTATGTGTTTTATCATGCATGCTATACGGTTAAAAAGAATCAGCTATGACCCCTAGTATCAGGCCTCGTAGCAGCCGTTGTTGTAGTCGTGACGCTCGACATGCTATCCTTTCTTGACCCTCCTCCTGTTTCTCCAGCCCCAGCTTCTTCAACGCTCCTCTCCAAAAACCCTGCCCACAAGTCTGCAAGGGACTCCTTCCCAGAGTTGGAAGCAGCTGACATGGGCTCCGAGAAGAAGTCCTGGTTAAGTGCCGGGGAGCTGGGCGTTCGGTGGAATGGTGACACAGGTAACCTCAGACTATGGTTATTCGAGCTGCCGCCCCCTCCTCCAGGTCTAGCTAACCCGGCCTGCTCCCGCTGCTCGTCTGTCCAGTTCAACAAGCCCGCTATTACCTGTAGAATCTGGAACTTCTTCGGATCTGATCTGTCCAGACTCAGGAATTGTAAAAAGTGGTTTGTCACGATTTGCCTACCCCCCCTCACGGTTAGCCACACACACACCCACCGGAAAAAAGGTTGCAGAGGTGGAAGGGAGGGTTACCTGTCGATAGTCTCTTCGGGCTTGGTCTTCTTTATGTACTTGAGCGCTTTGGTAAGGTGATCGTTGAGCACGATAGCTTCGTGCCGTAGTTTTCCGATAAGCAGGTTCTTTTCCTTGACCTCCTTCTCGAAAGGCGCCGTCCTTTGCAGCTCTTTTTCCAGCGCCACCTTTGCCTCTTCAGCAGCGGTTGCTCGCTGATCGGCCTCTTGTGTGCGCTTCTTCATTTGCTGAAGCTGCTCCTCAGCAGTCTCGACCATCTCGCGCAGCTCCTTCTTTCGCGCCTCCTGTATTTCTCGTAATGCCCTCTGCAGGCCATCCACCGCTTGGCTCTGCGTATCCCGCTCCTCTGCTGCCCGGGCATATGCTTCTCTGGTAGCTGCGAGCTGCTCTTCCAAATCGGCCTCCTTTTCGGCCAGAGCTTCTCTGACGGACCGCTCTTCCATGGCGATCACCTCCCACTCGCCCATCGCGCCGCTCGTCGACTCGAGTTCCGCTCGCAGATGTTGTACCTGCTTCGCGAGGTCTTCCTTTTCCTTCAGCCAGTTTTGTTGCGACAGGTTGGTCCTACTTCGCAAGCTGGCCAGCTCTCGCGCCTGCTCCTGGGTTTCCTCCTGCAACCGCGATATTTCGGTGCGGCTCTCGTCCCGCTGTGCCTCGAGCTCTTCGATGCGGTCGCGAGCCTCGTCCAACTCCGCGCGGTCGCGCTTCAGCCGCTCTCCGAGCGTCTCCTTGATCTTCTCCACCCGCTCTACCAGCTTCTGGTACTGTGTCTCGGCGTGCTCCTTGGCCGCCTCGCTCTCCTCCAGTTCGGTCTTGAGCTGTGATACCTCGGCGTCGTGTGTGCTCTGCATGTCCTCCAGCTGTCGCCGCAGCTCCTCCACCTCGACCCGCAGGGCCTCTCGCTCCTGCGACATGGCTTCGAGTCTCGCGCTGCTCGTTTCTGGTGCGGTGGTTGTTGTTGTTGTTGTTGTGGGTGTAGGTATTCTTTCGTGTGTCCCGTTTGTCCCTGCATGACCGTTCACTTTCGTGTCTGCGTTGGATTCGTTCTATGTGCTGATTGTCAGCGTTCCGTCCCTTTCGTCCCCTTTCCGGGCCCCACTGCAAATACTTACTATGCCTGCTGAATGCTCTTCTTGTCCTGATATTGCTGCTGTTGCTTCTTCTTGCTCTGCTGGTTGCTCATGTGGCACGTCGTCGTCATCCGGTCCATCGTTGTTCTCGGTTTCGTCTACCGGAGGAGGGGCGGCCTTGGCCTGCTGTTGCTTGTTGGCATTCTTCTTCTTTTTGTTGCCGTTCTTTTTCTTCGGAGTGCTGTGGCTATTAGTCGCGGGACCTGTAAATTGCGAAGCCAAGCCGCAGCTCGTTAGTTACATGCCACCTTTGGCGAAGCAGACGAAAGAGGAAACGTTTAAGGTCCCCCACGTACCTTGCGAAGAAGCTGATTGGGTGGTGGACTCGGTAGTAGGAGACGACATGTTCAATCAATTGCAATTGGCAGCAATTGGTAAAGCGAAAAGAGGCGGCATCAGTTTTGCCTATAGCCCTGCGAATGCGGATTTGTTTTACGAACAGGAGGCGCTGCGTAGTTGGCTCTGAAAGACGGGAATGAAGACGCCTCCTGCTTTGTAGCTTCTACCACGTAAGCCTTAATCAGGTCCTTTGGCGCGTACTGTATGTACTCAGTCCCCTTACTGCCTGTGGATTTAGCGAGACAGTGGCCAAAGTCGCACACAGCAAATCGTGGGACAGAAATGCTGCAGCATACATAATACACCTAGGTATGTACGAATTACCTTATGCTGTCAAGATCGTCGGCAGCAAAACCGGGCCTTGATGCAATCAATATATTCAAAACTGTCGGCAAGTACTGCAGCGGCTGGGCGGTTGCACAGCAGTACCTGGAATTGTACCGCGGTGTAAAACGTCCAGCCGCAGGACACCGGTGCAGATCAATCAGGAAAGTGGGTGAATCGGTTACATAAGCCAGCCCGACAGCCCGTGAGCTTTATTTTACCACTGGAAGACTGCTGAATTTTCCTCCTTTCCTCTTTTCTTCTTCACATATTTCCCCTTCGCCTAACTTGATACCGGATCTGCCTTCCTCATTTGGACTCAACGGGCTCTTTCACATAACCGGGCAAAGTAGAACAGTTTTTAAGCGCGCTTTATAATCCTGATAGTTCTCGCAAGATATCTTGCACTCTATGGGTCTTTTCAGGTTCGCTTGGTGCGTACACACAAACATATATAAAGATGGGCTCTGTGAGCTGTAATACCCACGGAACATACCATTATCTCATGAAAAGTCAATGGCACATGAGAAAATAAGCCTTAACCAATGTGCTCAGTAAATCGTTCATACATGCAATCTAAAAGCCGTTACATGTCGCCCTCATTTCTTAGCTTTCTTACCCCTAGCTGGCTGCTTCTTTTTCGTCTTCTGCGCGGCTGGTGACTCCTTGGGATCCTCCTCCTCCACTACCGGTGCTGATGCTTCCAGCAGCTCTGGGGCAATTGGGACCGAGTCCTCCTTCTCCTCTGCTGTCTCAGTAGGTGCAGGGGCATCCTCAATAGCCTTGACCTCCTCCTGCTCGATCGACGGGACCTCTTTGGCCTCAGCAGCCTTGAGTTTGGGAGCCTCATATTCATAGTCCATCATGTCCTTGAGCTTCTCCGCCCTCGACTGGCGCCTGGCCTCCTCCTTTGAGATCTTGACCTGCCACTTAGATTCGGACAGGGCTCTCTCCAGTTGTTTTCCGGCCATCTTGTTCCAGGGCACCACCTTGAAGCGACGGTTTGCGCCCTTGAACAGGTTCGGGTGCGCCTGGTGGCTAGGGACTATCTTTGCTCGGAGAATATGGCCGAACAGTAGATACCGGTCCATTGTCTTGGCTGCGATCTCGGCAACGTTGGCGTCTGCGAACTCCAGGAAAGCAAAGTGCTTGGACGCGCCCGTCTTCTTGTTGCGTGCCAGACGTAGGCGGTTGATCTTGCCAAACTGGCCAAAGTAGGACCACAGCTGGTGCTCGTAGAAACCGTGGGGAATCCTCGTGAGACACATGACGCCCGGCTTCCCGTTGCTGCTACTGCTGCCATCCTCGGTCGACTTTTGGAAGGCCTTGTTGATCCTGGGAAGCTCGCCGTCCTTAAACTTGCTGAATTGTTGCTTCAGAATGTCCCCGTCGTCCGTCTCATGGCCATCGTCGAGAGTGTCCACGAGAGCGAGGGTCTCGTCGTCGGCGCCTTCTACGTCCTTCTCCTCCTCTGTTATAGGGATCTCTTCTTCAGCCTCTTCTTCCTCCTTTTTTGGTTTCAACTTCTTTAATGGGGCAGGCTTCGGGGCGGTCTCGCCCTTGCTGGCCTTCTTCTTGCTCGTCTTCAGCGCGGATTTGAGAGGGGTGGCGTCGTCTTCCTTGGCCGCCACCGGCTTCTTCTGCTTCTTAGGCGCAACTGGTGACGCATCGTCGCTTGCTGTGGTAGACAGTCAATACCATGGCTGCGATAATTGTAGCATAATCTGAGGAGCTCACCTTTGCGCTTCTCGGTCTTGGTCTCGGCCTTGGGTTTGGCAGCCTTGGTTGCCTTCTTCGCTGCAGGTGCAGGCGCAGCCTCAACTGGTGCAGCTAAAACACAATTAGCCATGCTTTGCAAATACAGTGTGAGTCGCTGAGAATAATCCTACCCTTGGGCTTTCTTGCGCGCAATTCTGGAGCCATTTTTTCTGTAAAGGTACTGACTGATACACACTGGTTTGTGCCTTTTCTCGCCTGCGGTTCCTTGGGCAGGAAAATAAATTTGAGTTCTGCCGCCTGGACAGCAAATGCGACTACAGGCGGTGTACTGGAAAATGCGCTGCCCCCACCTGCCCAGCCCCTCGCAAAAATGCCTAGCAGGTCGGCCGAGCCCGGTAAAATTTAGGTTACACAGAACAGGCTCTCTACACCCATTCATGTAAGTCGCTTATAGCGGCATAGGTTGATGGCAATACAACGCAATCTGTTCGAGACAGCGGTGCGTTGCAGCAGTGAAACCATCACCGTCAAACTCACCGGGGAAAACATCAAGCTATTCTAGCATAGTAACGTGTCGTCTGGAGCTCCGGTCGTAACCTACCTGTCCGTAGGATTGTAAAATGCTTCCCGGC